CTTTTCCCAGTTTCCTTGGTACTCCATTCCTGGGGAAGACCTAAAGCCAGCAAAAGCCTATCTTTGCCTTCAGCGTAGCTTTTCCTTTAGTGCTACTAAGAGCTGGACCTCCAGGAAGTTCCAGTGGGAACTTGTTTTTGAGGATTCTTCAAGGGGACATCTCTGGCCAAGAGAGCCACAAAGATAACCAAAGCAGCTGCCAGCGTTTGAAGGATAGACTGAATTTCTTAACTTGTGTGTGTGTGTGTGTGTGTCTTTTCCTTCCAGTTTGGTCAGATGATGACTGGTTGAAGAAGTTTTCTGGGAAGACTCTTGAAGAGAATAAAGAAGAAGAAGGACCCGAGCCTCCCAAAGCAGAAACCCAAGAGGTGAGAGTGAAAGTGTCGCTTCTCTCCAGAAGACAGGCTGTGCTTTCCACCGTTGTTATGGGGACTTTCAAATACGTATATTTATCAAAGTGCAGACGGTGAGTTTAGAACTTGGTGAGGACAGTGCTGGGGGATGAGAGGGCACAGCTGTGGGGTTGTGTTTATGTTCCTCCACACCCTGCCAGGCAGCCCCTGCTGAGATTTTTGGCTCCTTAGTCTCTGTCCTCTTCTTGGCCTCATGCAGAGGTGACAGGGCAGGTAGTCTTACTTCCCTCTAGCCTGTGTGTGGTTTCTGGGTTTGCCGAAGGCAGTTCTGCCCTCGCACATTTTCTGGTTCTCAGCACACATTTTCTGGTTCTCAGCACACCTCCCTGAGCATGCTGCTTCATCTTTGTGCCCTGTGAGCACTGGCTTTCTTCTATGCTTTGTGTAGGACTGCCCTGCCCCTGTGAGGTTGGTGTTCTTCTATACTTTGCTCATGGCACGTAGCTCTTCTGTCTTCTCTCAGCTGAAACAGAAGTAGTCACTCTCAGCCATCTGCAGCCCTCCTGTGTTATGCCTGCACATATGCCTGCACACCAGAAGAGGGCACCAGATCTCATGGTAGATGGTTGTGAGCCACCATGTGGCTGCTGGGAATTTACCTTTGGAAGAGCAGCCAGTACTCTTAACTGCTGAGTCATCTCTCCAGCCCCCATACATACTATTTCAAAGCTGGTCTTGCTTTTAAAGAGCCCCCTTTTAAAGAGCCCCTTTGTCGGGCTCTGTTTCTAACCCTGGACTTCAGTTGTTTCCGGCGGCAAGTCTTACAGGGGCTTATTTTGCCTGGAATGGGTGCTCTCCCTGTCTTGTTCTGCTGTGCTCTTAATCTTGGGTAAAATCTAACCTAAGCCAGTAATCTGTCTTCTAAGCAAACACAGTGCAGTCTCCCAGGCCCTGCTAGTCCCTTCTTTATGGTAGAACCAGTTAGATCATCACAGTCAAGTGCTTCTCTGGACACCCCCCCCCCCCCAACAGCCTTCCTTTATACTGCCCTCCATGTCTAACCTTGTGTCTTTGGAAAATTTCTGTCTTCTCTGGCTATAGTTTTGTTCTCCAGTGTTTTCCCAGAGAAGCTAGAGTAATCTTTCTTGAGCACAGATCCAGTCATTCGGTCTCACACTCAGATCTTTCCACTCCTCTGTCATGTGTCTCAGGGCGCATAGCCCAGCAGGGCCTCCCGGTCTCCATCTTGCCCCTTTTTTGCTTCTCTGTAGTGCAGTCCCCACTTGACACTGAGTGAAATATTCCGTTTCCATGCACATGTTTGCTTTTACACAGGCAACTCCTGTGCTGATTGCCCTTTTCGAGGCAGTACATTTAATGAGTTTGTACCGCAGGGCCTTGTACTGTGGGTGGAACACTGTGACTAAGAGCATGCCTTTGAGGGGAAAAGGTGACTATTTTTCAGTTCCTGCTCATCGCTTACTATCTTCATGGCCTGGGGCAAGTTATACAGCAAGTACTGTATTGTTGCTGTGGTCTTGCTAGTACCAATGTAAACAGCAGACAGCAGAGCCTCTGCATCTGCATGGTGCCTTAATGTGCTTGGTCAGCTGAACCAAGACAGATGCGTATTCTATGCCTGCTTTCCTCCGCTGTAGTCTCCCCTACTCAAGTACAAAGCAGCCTCAGCCTCTTCTCCTTTGAGCGTCTGGAGCCTGTCAGAAGGGCTCCCTCCTGCTCCCAGGTTGAGCTTGTGGCAGTGATGATTGGACGTGGAGGAAAGAAGTCCTGGTGTGTGTCACCTAGCTGTAGTAAGGTATAGGACTTGACCTTGGCACTGAAGGAAGGTGAGGAAGGCCGAGTATTCTGACCCAGCTAGCTACAGGACAAGGAGAGGTGAGCAGGCGTGTCTGAGGGTGAGCATGGGAAGATATGCTCCCCATGCCTGTGTTTAGGGGTCCCATTTCACAGTGCTGAGTAAGGTTTCCTGTCATTGGGTGTCCAGTTGGATACTGTAGCCATAGTTCCTGCCTCCTATAGCCTATCAGGCCCAAGACCTTCCCTGTCAGCACTGTGTTCAGGCTGTTCCAGGGAGTTGTGCTCTGGTGATATGTTCGAAAGATCACTTGTACACCTACTTAGGGAGTTCTGGGTCCTCTAACTTTTTTCTGCCCCTAGGGAGAGCCCACTGCACAGAAAGCCCGGTCAAATCCTCAGGTGTACATGGACATCAAGATTGGAAACAAGCCAGCGGGGCGCATCCAAATACTCCTGCGGTCTGATGTTGTGCCCATGACAGCAGGTAAGCAGGCCCCCATGCTCAGACTGGCAGGCGGCTGGTGGCTGGGCAGAGTCTCCCAAGGTTCTCACTGCCTCAGCTCCTAATACCCTTGGCATTATTCCTGACCTGAATTAATTTATGGCACCTAAGATCCTGGGATCTAGGAACAGATAGGTCAGAGTAGACATTGAAAGTGATTAATTGGTGGTTTACTATTTTTTAATATAGAGGGTTTTTTAAAAATAACACAAATAATATATTATTACAAATACATTGTGAATAATGTATTCAGTTAAAAGAATGTATCACACACATATATTCCAGCTCTATGCTCCAGAAATAACTAGTACTAATTTCTAGTTCATTAAAATACTGACTTATTCTTTAATGTAAATTATATTATTTACACATATAATTTAAGTAGCTTTTATCACAAAATTTATTTCAAAAAATCATCAGTCCCCAGTGAAAATAGAGACCCCATTCCCTGCCCTGCTGGCAGCACTGTTTGCTGTTCCTCAGAGGCAGCCAGTTTCATTTCTTAGCTCGTTTTGGTTTTGACTTCCATATTGGAAGATGATAGTGGGTAGTTCTTTCAGGAGCAGAAACTGACACAAAGTCAGCTGTGTCACTGAAGGCCCATAATGTCTCATGAAAGCTAGAAGCATGGTGCTCACTGCACAACTTCAGGCAATTTCATGAATTAGAAAGTCCTTTTTCTGGGCAGCTCCGTTGGTCTGAGATGCCTGCTGGCTGAGCTGTCTTACTGGCCATTACTTTAGTATGGTTTGGGCATGCAGCAGATACAAAATGCACGTATTCTATCCTGTTTAATCAATGCTATGTGGTTATTTAGTAAATGAGTATCAACAGCCTCTAAGGAGCGTATGATGAGAATACGGTCAGCCCTCTCTATCTGTAGATGCACATCTGTGAATTTAACCAACCACAAAGCAGAAATATGTGGTGGGCCAGTCAGATGGCTCAGCAGGTTAAAGCACTTGCTGCCAAGCCTGACAACCTCGGTTCCAGGCCAGAGCTCACATGGTGGAATGAGAAAACCAAACCTTGAAAGTTGTCCTCAGACCTGTACACACATGCACAATAAATCAATGTAATAAATTTTAAATCTGTTTGAAGGGAACATTGCATGTGTACTAAGCATGCTGGCATTTTCCCCTTGACATTATGCCCTGGCTAATATAGAATAGCAACCGTTTATGGACCATTTACATTTTATTGTATATCACAGATAATATAGAAATGGTAGAAAAGATACAGGACCCAGAGGGGTCTGGGGAGCCATCCCAGTGTGGATACCTGGGGTCAGCTGTGCAAAACTAAACAAGTAAAACATGTTTTATTTTTCCTGCTTTCATACTCCCCATCTTTCTGGCTAGTTACCTTAATTTTGGTTAGGAAGTTAGGTTGTACCTCAGCACCTTTTTCTTTCTTAACACCAGAGAATTTCCGTTGCCTATGCACCCATGAAAAGGGCTTTGGCTTCAAGGGAAGCAGCTTCCACCGCATCATCCCCCAGTTCATGTGCCAGGGTGGTGATTTCACAAATCACAACGGCACAGGGGGCAAGTCCATCTACGGAAAGAAGTTCGATGATGAAAACTTCATCCTCAAACACACAGGACCAGGTAATTGCTAATTCTGGTGTGTTGAGTTACGGCGGGGCCAGGACAGGCTGTGGTGGGCCAGCCACGAAGAAGCACATGCTGGGGTGAGCTGCTTGCCTCCAGCCTTGTACTCTTCACACCTGACCTTCACTCCACAAGTTGGTGTTCCGTGCTAGGTTAGAGTTTGTGCAAGCTCCCTTAGCTGTCAACCTCTCTGTCCCCTCTACGCCCTCAGTCCCAATCAAAGGCCACAGTCTCTTCCTGTTTTTCTTCCTGAGATCTCCATATTGATCTGAGGTCTTACCTCCTGCCTACCACAGATGCACGCTCTGACTCCCTTCTGCTACAGAGGCTGTTCCTCCTTATGTCCCTTATGTCCCTCTGGCCTACTTAGGAACTTGGCATCTCCTGCTGGCTCCCTTTGACCTATAAAATGTGTTTCCTCTGCTTAGCCAGTTTGCTTCAACTGTGCCCAGGCATGCATTCTCAGTCTTTAAACAACAAAAAACAAAACCAAAAAAAAAAAAAAAAAAAAAAAAACACCTTTGGACTCTTGTTCCTCCCACCAGCTGTCATCTTGACTAGTCTACTTTTAAGCAAAGCTTGTAGGAAAACTGTATAGACTCACTGCCTTTATTGTTTCTAAGCCCTTCTGTCTAGACTTTTAGCCCCAGCTGGCCACTCAGAGCTTTTTTGCTAAAGATGCCAACCATCTTTCTCACCAGAAGCCAGTCTTCTGCCTCACCTTACCCAGCCCCAGCAGCGTCCTGTGCTGTCAGCTCTGTGCTCCTTGCCTCTCACTTTGCTCTGGTGGTCGACTTACCCACCTTCCAGGTGCTCCCCCTGCCTCCTCCTCCCTGGATCCTAAACATGGTGGTGGCTCAGAGATCAGCTGATTTCTCCATAGAAACCTGTTTATTGCGCCTGTGCTTTTTTTCCAGCAAGTTTGTGCTAGACTGAAGTACAGGGACAAGAAGTTCTTCCTACCTACAATATCTGCACTTGCACCAGAAAACACAGGAGTTTTTCCAGCCGATGCCACACTCAGATACAGCAGTTAGAATAAGAGAAATGTGTCCTCTGACAATTCAGATACCACAGACAGTATTGCTGGTCCTGACATGATTTTGTGAAATGATAAATGAGATTCCATTGACTTATATTGCAGTTGTAATTACTGGATTATTTGTTTTGGTCTTGATTTTGTTTTGTTTTGGAGACAAGGTCTCATAGTCTATAGATCTGCCTGACCTGGAACTTGCCATATAGACTAGGTTGGCCTGGAAATCACATATCCACTCACAAGTAGTGGGATTAAAGTTGTGTAGCTGGTTTGATTTTTGTGTTTTGAGTCAGGGTCCTAGTGTGTAGCTCAAGCTAGTACTGAACTCTGTATCCTCCTGAGTGCTAGGATTATAGGCTTGTATTGCTACTTCCAGTTCCCTAGAAGATTCCATTACTGGGGAAAGCCCTTAAAACTTGCAGTGTATTTAAATGTAATAGACTTAGGTCTTAAGGGACTAGAAATAGTTCAGTGGTTAAGAGTACTTGCTTTTCTTGTAGAGGACTCTCAGACTTCACGTTAAAATCATTCTCCTCAACTTCCTTCATGTCTCTCTGTTTCAGTATATGATGCACTGTCCTGATCCAGGGTTAGGGCTCATCTTGGATTCGTCTCCCTTGTCCCCCGTAACTGCTGCCTGTCTCCATCTCATCTCCTTGCCCAGCTTCCCTTCTTCCCAGCACAGATGCCCCTGCATCTTAGCTGTCATAGCACATCACCCTTTAAAAAGGATGCATGTATTTATCGTTTGGGTAGGTTTGTGGTCATATATATATGTTGGAGTGTGGGTCCTTGCAGCACAGTTTGTATGTGGAGATCAGGGGATAACTTTCAGGAAGCAGCTCTTAGGTTCCGGAAATGAAATGCAGGTTATCAGGCCTCTGCAGTAAGCGACTTTATCTGCAGACCTATCTCCCAGCCCATATAATTGCACGCTAAATGAATGTTTTGCTCATCAGTGTACCAGGACTTAATGGGCATAGTTACAAAGTAGACAGCATTATTAAAATAAAAATAAAATTTAAAAAAAAACAAAGTAGATGGCAAGTCATTGCTATAAATAAAAAGACAAATGAGAAAGAAAAAAAAAACCAAAAAAAAAAACCTGAACCAGCCCACTCATCTTTTTTGTAGTGAAGTAAAAAACAAGGTGCTACAATATACCCTGAGCCAATATGCAGAAGCACCCTCAGCAGTCAGCATAGGCATGCTTCATGTGCCAAGAGCCGTGTGGAGAAAGCTGATGAGTTTATTTTCTCCCAGGCCTCCTTTCCATGGCCAATTCTGGGCCAAACACCAATGGCTCCCAGTTCTTCCTGACCTGTGATAAGACAGACTGGCTGGATGGCAAGCATGTGGTATTTGGGGAGATCACGGAAGGCCTGGATGTCTTGCGGCAGATTGAGGTGGGTGGTTGGAAATGGTTCCCTACTTGGATCTTGGGTGGGCACCCCAGTGAAAGAGTTGGAGGGGTTCTCTATGGCCATGGGAGGGGACATTTTGAACAGGTCCCTATTCAGGGAGAGGGTAATCCCTTAGTAGCTGTCAGCCCCTGCTTCTGTCCTGATTTCTCTGTTCTGCACACGAAGGCTCAAGGCAGCAAGGATGGGAAGCCAAAGCAGAAGGTGATCATCGCTGACTGTGGCGAGTACATGTGACGCTGCGCGCTCTGCTCTCGCCTCTGTAAGACGTGGAGCGGCCTGGCCTGGGGCCCTGGTGCTGAGTGGTTTCTGTGAAGCAAGCTGTGTGTGGCCCAAGCCTCTCCTCAGGGTCAAGTGACTTAGCAGCAGCTCGCCTGCAGTGCCCAAGGTTTTCTTCAGACATGGCAGGGCCTAAAAGCCAGCATAGGCAGTGTGCTGCCACCGCCTGTCTTAGGCTGTCTGTAGTTGCTGGGTGGCTTCTTTGCTAAAATAAACTGGTTTTTGCCTCCAGCAAGTTCCTAGGAGTTGTCTGTTAGAGATCACGTCCAAGGCTGTCCCCCTGGATGGGATGGCAAGTTTGGGAAGGTGTAATACCTTCCCCATGACTTTTGTTTCCTTCCTGGGCTAATGTGCCCTTACATGCCAGGTAATGTATCTTTATGTAACATGATTTTATCAGATTGTGTCAGGGCAGTGGGAATCCAAGTTGCCTGTGCCCCTGAACTCATGCTGCTTGTTTGGTATCGTCCTCTGTGGTTCCCATGTCTAATGTTCTATTTCATTCTTCAGGTTTTTAAAGTGGTATGTTATGACTCAGAGATCCGATGCTGGGTTCTGGGCTTCCATCAGCACTGCCTGTTTCTGGGAATTAGGTTTTGTTGTGACACAGCCATATCTGTTTATGTTTGGATGTTGCCTGTGGCTTCTTTCTCATTACAGCACTAGAAGCAAGTGATTGGTGACTGACCGTATATTTTGTCTGTTCTCAGGGTGTGTGTGTGTGTGTGTGTGTGTGTGTGTGTGTGTGTGTGTGTGTG